GGAGAAATCTGGGAGGAGAAAACAGAAGGAGCAAGAGAATAAAGAGAGGCGGACGCTAGGGGGCAGCCACCCAGCCACACAGCCAATCATAGAGTAAGAGTGAAAGTAAGATATACAGAAATAAGAGAAAAGTAAAAGCCCAGCGGCAAAAGATGGGATAATTTAAAGTTAAGTAAAGCTGGCAAGAAACAAGCCAAGCTAAGGCCAGGTATTTATAATTAAGAATAGGCCTCTGTGTATGATTTATTTGGGAGCTGGGTGGCAGGCCCTCAAGAGAGTCAAAGGAAAAAAAAATAATCAACAACATTTTGGCACCCAACGTGGGATAGTAGAAAGCTGCACAGCAGTTTACATTGCCTACAAATCATATTCCATATCATGCTTTCTCAAACATAATGTATGTGCTAACTGCCTGGAATCTAATGAAACTGATGATGGTGGAGGAGATCAGAGGAGGGCCTGGACTCTGTATTTCTCGAATGTTCTGAGATGATGCTGGGGCTCATAGTTGGGAAATTATACTTTCTGTAGCAAGGTCTTAGCATACTTAGCAAAACACAGGACCTGAGGATCCTTAATAGTAATGGACAATCCTGGGACTTCAACCTGAGTGATGTTCTCCACAGCCTGAGCACTGAGCCACATAGCCCTGCTCATGTCTTCTTCCACACTCAGTGAAAGTTCTTGTCAAGGTGGGACCAAGGACAGATGCTGTGCCATAGGTCATTTTTTCTCCCTGTAGCTTTTGACACCAGGTTTCTGTCTGAGCTGCCATCCTGGGACAAATTCTCCCCAGTTGGCCCTCGACATCAGCTCAAGACCCAGGCACGCCTGAGTTCTAGGTGACCATTGATTTACTCTTGAGCTAAAACCTTGATCTGAGATGTGTCTTCCCTAGTGAGCCATGCTGCTGACCAGTAGATCCCTTATCTTGGGATCCCCCGCTTCACATACCTGACAAGCACTGTGGAAAGCCTAGGGAGCTTGCCAACCTGTGTTCTCCCCAGCACTATGCTAAGCCAGATGTGTAGGGCACTGGGACTTCAATACCTTATCTTTTGACACAACCTAGTGCAGTCCTAGCAAATACAGCATTGATAAGCGCTGGGCACAAGCATGGGGGTCTCTATGGAGATTACTAATGTCTCAGATGAGCTTTGGGCGAGAGAGCTTACCGAAAGCCAGCTCTGGTGCCGTAAAGGCTATTTTAGGCTCAAATGCAATCTTCGATCTAAATTCTCTTACATTCCTTTCTCAAAGGAAGCTGCATGTCATTTATCATTCAGTGCGTTTGAAGGCAGCTTCAGCTTGTGGAATTACTATTTAATCATGAAGGGTCTGTGTTTCTGTGAAATCAGCCGGTGGTGATTTAGCAGTAATGAGTCATTCCAGGCTCTGAACTACAATTGGAAAACAGAGCTGTCTTTCCATTTCCATCAGGCTGCAGTGGGCCCTGTGGATAAGGCATTTTGGAACAGGAGTCCAGAACTTTGGATTCCACATAAATGAGTGTTTTCTTTTTTCTTTCTTTTTCTTAAGGTTTTGCTCACTCATCTATAATTGTGAGTTTTTCCCTGTGGGGCACAATGCCTTGCCTTTTACTATTTTCAAACCATCGTGTGTTTAACTCCTAACACAGACTTACAAAAGACTAGAAAAGCCTCCAGAGAAAGGACTAAGGGCATCTGGATTAAGCCGTGGGTGGTGGGACTGTGCTCTCCTTGCTGTGTTCTGGGAGCAGAAGCTCTGACAGACAAGCTTGTGTAGATCTGGGGATTTGCTGTCACCTGTATAGGGCCAAGCAGTCCACAGATTCTACTGTCACAATGGGACATAGCAGGAAATCAGCCCAAACAGTAGCAAAGTACATAGTAATCAAATAATCCCAACCCCCAAAGGCACTGGATTGAAATGGCAAGCCAGGACCAAGCCTAGAGAGGGGAAGGAAGTTGGGTCCCTGGGAATAACCTTGGAGAGGTTATTACAATGCTCTCTCTTCCCCCAGCCACCACAGGGTAAGTAAATTCGACTATAAGCTGAAACCTTTGACCTCTGAGCCAAAGTCAATCCTTTTTCCCTTTAACTCGATCCCGTCCAGTATTTTGTCCCAGTACAGACCGTGTTTATGACCCACCCTTGGAGGAGCCTCTGTGTACAGAGAGCACTTGAGGGTCTCAGGCTTTCACCTGTAGCTTCCCACTGCCTGCTGTGAAGAAGGCCCTGGAAGCAGGAAGATCAGGAACCTGCCAGTCAGCTCCTGCAGCATCCCCTCTGCTTCCTCACCGAGTCGCTGAGTCTGCTGTGCCTCAGTTTCCCTATTGTAAGGCAGATCTTGTCACCATGCGTCTTAGGAGATAGACACCACTGGAGAATGTGGTGAAGCAAACGAACTCACACTAGGGAGAACATGGAACCCGGGGGAGTCCGAGACACACTGAGATTATTCTTTATGGAGAGAAAGGACCGAGGCCCTGGGAATGCGGTGGGGCCCAGTCTTCTTACAAATGGGAAGATTTCACGTGCAGTGGGAGTGAGCCTCTGGCTACGTCCTCCTTGTTCTGCTGTGTTTCTGTGCTCCAGGAGTGGGTGGATTTGTCTCAGTCTTGCCGTTTTGACAGGGTTTGCAGAGTGGGGCTAAATGAACCTGGAGGGATTACAGGCGCTCCAGAAGTTTCCTTCATTTCTCTTTGTATGCCGTCCGTCTGCTTCTGAAGGAGACGATGGGTCTGCTGTGCAGCTTCGATGTGGAGAGCCATGTGACTCTGCACTTGCTTTATGTGTGTTTAGTAAAAGCATAAGCCTCTGACAGTAGAAAGCAGAGTGTTTGCAAATCCTCTGAGGGCGTGTACTCCAGAGCAAGTGCTAAGGTTTTACATTTTATTTATTTATTTACTTATTTCTTTGTTGTTAGTGTGCTCCTGTGTGTGTGCATGTACATGTGCATGTGTGTGTGTGCGCATGCATGTATTCATGTGTGTGTGTGTACGTGTGGGCATGTGTGTGTGCATGCATGCATGTATTCATGTGTACCTGTGTGTGCGTGCATGTGTGTGTATGGGTGTGCATGTGTGTGTGTGCATGCATGCATGTATTCATGTGTACCTGTGTGTGCATGCATGTGTGTGTATGGGTGTGCATGTGTGTGTGTGCATGCATGTGTGAGTATAAGTGTGCGTGTGTGTGTATGTGTGTGTGTGTGTGTGTGTGTGTGTGTGTGTGTGTGTAGGAGGTCAGAGGATAGCTCTTTGGGGATGGTTCTCTCTTTCCACCTTCAAGTGAGTGCTGGGGATGAAACAAGGTTAGCCAGGCTGCTTTGATGAGCAAGTTCACTGCTGAGCCTGCCCTGGGCCCTGATCCAGTTCTTCCAGGTCCCACCTGTCCTGCCCTCTTCTGCCTCTGGAGCTCAGCCAGGGCAGAGCCGGACCCACGAGCGAGGCTCCAGGTGTTTGAGACGGGGTGGGCGAAGTTGCATTTGAACATAAAATTTGGTTTCTTTTCCACCCAGTGAAAATACCAGGAAAGGAAGTTTCATTTGCTACGATTTAGTTAAAAACATAAAGACCCTTAAAAAAAAAAAAAACCCACAGATTTCCCAGCATGGAGTGGCATTCAACAGTTTTGCAATTAAAACGATAATGAAACTTTTCTCACTAGAACTTCTCTTTAAAATCAGTGTGATGGGTACACAGCACACCATTAGGAGGAATTATGCAAAGCAGCCTCCCTGTTCCAAGTTTTATTTTAAGATTTAATTTATTCCAGATTCTGCAGGAAAAAAAACGCCCATGTGACAAGCCTGCTAACAGATGTCAATTTAGTTTTATAGCACATGCCTGCGTTTCAGAGCCAGAGAACGGAGGGTTTTCTCTCGGCCTGCTGTTTATTGCACACCACAGCCTTGGAGAGCGGTGCTCCGGAGGGGGGCTGATTAGTGAGCCTGCAACTCACCCTGCTTGGCGGCTGGCACTGTCAGTGTTAGCGGAAGTCTACGTCCTGGCAGATGAAGGCTCTAGAAGGAGCAGAGGTGACTGAAAGTGGATTTTCTCCATTTTAATATCTTCTAAGCCAAAAGATCGGTTGGATTATGGTATGATGTAAGAGAAAAAGGAAAAAAAAGAGAGAACTGTGTATTTATAGAGAGAATTAATTTAAATAATAGGTACCAATAAATAGGTCATCTTTTAGTAGTTAGTTTATTATTTTCTATTATTATTTTGGGTTTTCCAGACAGGGTTTCATAGTCTAGCCTTGCTGGCCTATAATATAGGCCAGGCTGGCCTTGAACTCACAACAGCCTTACTGCCAGCGCCTCTAGGGTACTGGGATTACAGGCACATGCCTGGCCTTGCTGTTTTCAGTTGTGTTGAAGTGACTCTAGAATAAGACTGGCTAGTTTAACCATCCTAAGTGGCTCCATAGTGCTAAACCCAATGACGTCGTGTGTCTGCTCTCCAAACCTTTTATAGTGCAAAGCAGAAAGCCAATGCCCATTAGGCAATAGCTCCCCTTTCTTCCATGTCCTGACTCCCAGTAACCATTCATCAACTTGCTGTCTTTGTGAATCGCCTATTCTAGGCAGCTCACTCAAGTGGACCCTCTCACAGTGTCTGTCCTTATTTGTAGCTGGCTCATTTCACTTAAGATGCTTGTTATATTAGTTCTTTTTCTGTTGCTGTGATAAAACACCATGGCCACAAATGACCGTGTAAGAAGGAGTTTATTTTGGCTTATGCTTCCAGAGGGATACGAGTCCGTCATGCAGGGAAGCCTGGCAGCCAGCAGTAGGCATGACAGCAGGAACAGAGAGCCGAAAGCTGGACTCTTCAGCAGCAAGGACAAAACAAAGAGAGCAAACTGGGAGTACAGCAAAGCTGTGAACTCGTGAGCCCAGCTCAAGGGATGTACTTCCTCCAGCAAGGCCAGACTTCCTACACCTCCCCAAACAACACACACCAGCTGGGGGCAAGTACTCAAATGTCCGAGCCTATGAGGTACACATTTCTCATTGAAAACACCACACATTTTCAAGGTTCCTTCACATTGTAGATTGACATCCTTTACATTATCAAAATGTCCTTCCTTTTTTATTTGTTTATTAAAAAAAATTTTTTTTTTTTTGAGATAGTGTCTTTCTATGTAGCCCTGACTGTCCTGGAACTCTCTGTGTAGACTCTCTTGTGCTCCAGGTGACCAGGCCACAGTAGGAACTGGGTAAGTGATGGGTGGGTAAAGGGGCCATCCCCACTTTTGGTGATTCATCCTCTTTGGAGTGTCTCCTTCCTGTTATCCAGGGTCCTCTATTTTATAGGATGGTGCTAGGAGTGATTGGAGAGGTTACTAAGGGGCCCCGCCTTTCCAGATCATTTCTATAGATCTCTGTATATCTAACACGTTTTCAGTTAGGTTCTTTTTCTTATTCTGCACTTCATCTAATATTTAGAGGTAGAGCTATTTCTACCAGAGATGCCCCTCCCTTGCCTTGCGGGTGTGAGGAGGAAGCTGCCTGTAGATGTGAGATGCTGTTAAGAAGCAAGGAGATATCACGGAGAGACTGCTCTTTCTTTTCTTGGAAAATTGCCTCCACTCTCCAGCTCTCTAAGGAATTGCTCTATGAAGAGCAGAGAGGCCTGTTGGTTGTTTTCTCATTTGGCTTACATCAGTAATATTTTGCTTAATTACATGCTGTTTATAGCTATTTTAAATTGAAGCTTCAGTCTTGAGACACCAAGAGAACTTCAGATATTAAGAATATATAGACATTATATTAGAGACTTATCTTCTTGTTCTTAGTTTTATAAAAGAATCATGTTTCTTTGCTTCCAAAAGTAGTAGAGGATACAGTTATTATTCTAAATTTTGTCATCATTATTAGCAATAGAGGCAAAGAAAGAGGCTGGTCACAGAAACATTTGGCTCAGCTCTTTCCTTCGAAAATTTTGTTCTTTGCATTTACCACGCTGTTGCCATTCCAATTAACTGAAGATATTGGTTATCTATCTAAAGGGACTTCTGAATTCCTCCAGGTTGCTCTGGTCTTGATATTGGCATGAGAGAGTCACATTGACGATATTGTCAGGATGTCTCTGGAACAGTTAGCACATGGTGGACCACAGTACCCATAAAGATGCTGCTGCCTTTCAATCAGAGACCAAAATGCAGACTTGGGCTTCAGCTCAGCACTAGAACACTTTCCTAATGTGCCAGAGGCCCTGGGTTTGATCTCTAGTACCTCCCCACCCCCACCACCAAAACAAACAAAAAAGCCAGAGAGGCCCCAACCAGCTTTACAATCTCTCAGCTGTGTGATGAGCACAGATGAAGCCCTCAGGGCCACATCGCATCATTTCTGCAGAAGGAGGACAATTCTTTCCGGGCAAGACAGTTGAGGGATTAAAGACAGAAGTCTGTAAAGCATGGTCACAGCACCGTTTGCTCCTTATAGAACTGTCCACTGGTTTAAATTGATCTAATGTCCTTAGGACCCCACTCTAATGTTGAGATGGCATGTTATGGCATGCCTGACAGTGTATTTCATTGCTCTTCTACTTCTTAATGATCATGGAGGATCGCTTTTAGGTCGATCATTTACTCAGATATTGTTAAAGGGGGAGGGAGATTGGTATTCTAGATTGGATCTTGGAAGTATTTGGAACAGAAACAGTGCAGAGCTGAGGTCCAAGCGTCCCTTTGGTGTCCTTGAGACTGATTTTGCTGTGGTGACAGATATGGGCATAATTGGTGTGTGCTCCAGATCAGCTGTCTGCTTCATGATGTCGGAAGAAATCTTGTAACTCTGAGCTTCCCTTGGGCATCTCCTAGAACACTGACGTGAATGGTCTGGGTTCTTCTGACATCTTTGATGGTGTTTTACACAGCAGGGGCTGTACTTTCCACTGTTCTTGCCCCATGCCATTCATTTCCTCTAGTTCCCCCACCACCCATTCTCCATCTTTGTAGCCTGTCTGAAGTCCCCCGTTACAGAATTTTGATACCTTTTGAGAGCTATATCAAGTATAGTACTAAATTTAATGTTCTGGAATTTTCTGGACAGCTTGAATTATCTGACTAAATCCAAGAGTGGCTGCTACCTATCCCTATCATCATTCCCATGCTGTGCCACTGAGCCGTGTTAAATAAAACCATCTCTCTTGATAGGAAAGGTCTGAACTCAGCGTGTGTGTGTGTGTGTGTGTGTGTGTGTGTGTGTGTGTGAGAGAGAGAGAGAGAGAGAGAGAGAGAGAGAGAGAGAGAGAGAGAGAGAGAATGAATGTATGTGTTTATGAGAGTCTCTGTGTAAGAGACTCTCACATACATATTCACTCGTGTGTGTGTGTGTGTGTGTGTGTGTGTGTGTGTGTGTGTGTGTGTGTGTTTGGGTGTGTGAACCAGAGGTTGATATCAGATATCTATCACTCTCCACATTTTATTTTTTGAAGCATAATCTTTCACGAAGCCTGGAGCTTGAAGATGGACTGGACGGGCTGGCAGTTGAGCCTCTGGGTTGCCTGTCTCCTCCCGTCCCAGCATGCACCACCTTGCCTGGCTGGGGATCCGAACTCAGATCCTGTGCTGCTTGTGTAGCAAGTACTTTGCCCACTGAGCCGTCTTTCCAGACTCTGAATTCGATTCCTAACCTGTTAAATTTCTCTAATATATCCTCACAGATACTTAGACTTTTTTTTTTCTTTTGAAGCAGGGTCTCACGTTACAAGCTGGCCTTGACCTCACTGTGTTTGGCTACAAGGATGACCTTGAGCTTTTCAGGTGTGCCCCACAGCACCCAACCTATGTGGTGTTGGGATAGACGCAGGACCTTGTCCCTGCTAGGCAAGCATTCTACTAAGAACTGCTTCTCCGGCCCCAGATGTCCCACCGCCTGACTGGATGGCTTTGCTTCCAATTTGCCTAAACCCTTCCATTCTATGCAGCGTTGATGATAATTTCTACTCTTTCTAATATTTTTTTCCAGTATTTGAACAATGAAAAATAATTTCACTCATCTTTCAGACCCTATTGCAAATGTCATTTCTCCCACAAGGCCTTTCTTCCAGCCATTTAGCTTTCACTGCATGAATGATGCATGCTCACTGTCAAAAATGTAGAGGACAGAGAACACAGGAGGGAAAAGGGAGACAAAGTTATGGTTAACTCTGGCATGGGTGACACCTGCTACTGGGATATGTAGTCCTTCATTCCAGATTTTTCTTTCCTATAGTATATGCGTTTTAACAAAATTACCACTATCCTACTATATATGTTATTTTATAACCAATTTTCTTTTCACTTAAAATATCTTGAACATTTCTGTGTTCATTAAGTATTTCATTTAGGGATATGGTAGTATCGTGGATAACAGCAAAAATCTGGAAACAACACAATTATCTTGTTGAAGGATGGAATAAACAAAAGTTGCCAAAGCCCAAAAGTATGATCAAATATTCAGTGACTATTAAAATAACTACCATATATCTGTGCTTTGCTAATGTGGAAAATATCTGAGCCAAACTGTTAAAGATTGAAAGCGAAGTGCCAGATGTGGGGGTATACTGTGACACCCACAATCTGAATAAAAATAAGTCTGCAACAGTTCCATGCTTGCATACGTGCTTTGAAACACAGGCCTTTATGTAAGCATACTGGGCATCCTTTAGGTAAAGGTACTGTCTTTGGATGCCCTTGGACAGAGGGATATTTTGAGTATTTAGCGTGAAGGTAGGGGGGACTCTGGGGTAGGAAAAAGACATTTCATTGACATTTTGAGGGGTTTGGACATTTTAAACATCTGTGTTTTATGGACATTTCCATATAATTGTATTAAATATTTGTCTACAATGTAACCTTGGATGGCTACATATATTCTAGTGAATAATTGCACTATAATGTATGGGATCACTTCTCAATTGATGAGGATATAGGCTACTTCAAGTTTTGGGCTACCCTGCACCATACAGCAGTAGCCTTTTTGTAGCTCTCACTAAATTACCCTCAAGAGACTTTGTGCTGTTTTATTTTTTTGACTGAGATCTTCCAGTGAATGTGATTGCTTATGACTTTGAATTCCCATACAACTCCATTTGCATATCTGGGCTATGGAAGGTAGCTGGGGTTTCTTCCACCATCAGAGAAGAGCAGTAGATGCACATCTTACATCCCTGAGTCCTTATTGCATCTCTAGCTATCTAAATGATAATGTATACACTTTAGACACTTTTAAATGTCAGAGACGGTGGCTGCCGTACTTGTTTCCTTTCCTGCTTCAACACAGAGCTGCAGTGAATCATTTCACACAGTGAGTGAACATCTTTCTACAATGATGGTAATGCAATTTAGCCAGCTGAATGTCCTGAGATAGCCCTGTTTGTAGACCACTATAAACCATACTCTGTAGACCCTCATGAAATACCAACGTCTTTAACAATTGAGCTAAGGCAATTTTACACACATATAAAAATACTTCTACATAAATATATATATCATAAAGTTGTGTAACCAAGCCACAGAACTGAGCAATGGTGACTGCTTCTGGCTTCCTCATTAATAATTAGTTGCCCCTGTCATTTATTTTTCTTCTATTGGCTCCTGGCGGCAGACAATTAGCAGTCAGTGCGGAGGTAAGAAACACTGATGAGTTTTGTCATGTGGGAAATTACCTTGATGCAAATAGCCTCTGCATAGACCACGAGTGAGGTGAGCTATCCCAGAGGTTATGGATCACAAATTAAGAGGCCTGAGTTACATGGTTTATTGAATCAATTAAAAACACACAGTGGGAAGTAAGGAGAGGGAGGTGGAGTACATTCACGTAGCAATGAACTAGAAGAACAATTCTGCATGAATCCTAATCAGCCGCCAGCCTCCCTCTTCCCTCTCCCTCTTCCTCCCTGCCTTCTCCATCTCCCTGTACCTTCTCCTTTCCCCAAGCTCTCTCTCATTAGCCTTCCCTGCAATGGTGGAGCAGTGAGGACCAGAATTAAGCAAGGAGACTCCTTCGAAGAGATGCAGGTAGAGGTGTTTTTTGTCACAGCTGTGAGCTCACTTATTTAGTTGGTGATTGATGACTTCATGAATACTGATTGACTCATGCACACTTAATGCTCATTATCCACTTGAATGTTTAATGAACATTTCTCTCCCTTTCTAATTCTTAGCACACGTACACTCTGTAACCAGCCTGGTAGGAGTGAAGATGTTCTAAAAGGACACTTGTGCCCTTCTCTTTGGCTATCAGACTGTTGAGACAGTGGACCCGAAAGGAACGGTAATTCTCCCAGGAATCTCTTGCTGGGAGAAGGAGAAGACTGGGAGGAGCCTGGTGCCTGCCAGAGCAGAGCAGAGCAGAACAGAGTGGTCTCCCAGAACGAGATTCATAACTTGTCAGATAATTGTGGGAGAGACTGGAGCTCAGACAAAGACGGACCCTGGACTAGGACTGTTTAGCTGTGCATGCCTCTTTTACTTCTATTTAAACCTAAACCTTATGCCAGGACCCTGAAGATGAGCTTGAAGGGGTCCCTGGGCCTCTGTTCTTTTTCCCAACATGGCCACGGTGGTCCAGGCTGACTTGTCCTAGCTGTCAAGGCCCAGGCTGTAACCCTAACAAATGGCTCTTAAGCGACTTGTTGACTATACAAGATATAAGTTGTGAACTTTGTATTTTCCATTTGCTGTCTCTGTCTTCTGTAGAACTAAATATTCTTAAATAAATAAATGGCCACTACCAGTTTAAAACCTAACACTGACAAAATTGTGTAGAGTAACTTCTTTTTCACCATTAACCCACTTCTGGGTTCAAACAAACACCTCTTTGCAGTCTTTGTGGAAGCCAAAGGCAATCAATCATCCACAGGTTGTCGTGAATAAAACGGTGAATAGAGTGAAGTATTCCACAACCCTGAACAGCCGTCATGGGCTTCCTTCTTATGATGGCTTACGAGTCACGCAAGACACACATGCTATGGTGCCTAAATGAGGTCCTGCTTTGCAAACATTTTACTTTTAAAATTACGTGTGTGTGTGTGTGTGTGTGTGTGTGTGTGTGTGTGTGTGTGTGTTAGGGTTTGTGAGTGTCGTGCCTGTATAGAGGTTCATGTGGAGGTCCTGTGGGAGAGAGTCACTTCTTTCACATGAGTAGTGGGGATCAAGCTCGGGTCATCAGGCTTGGTGGCACGGGTCTTCACCCTCTGGGCTATCTCACTGGCCCAGAAACTTTCCAGAAAAAAATATGTTGGCATTTTTAAAAAGTCCCCCAGTACCCAGGACAGTGTTTTATGACAAGTAGGAATTTTTCTCTTATGGTCGTATTCTGGTTAACTGAGATTTACAGATGGTCTGTCGAGGACGTGAGTTTGAGGGACAAAGTGTCTGGTCTCAGGCATAGTCCAAGTGAGCTCTTAACATTTCACAGAAATTAAAGGCACCAGTCACTGCGACTCCCTAGTTAGTTCCCGGTCTTTCCATCACATAGGTTTTAACACATGCTGTTTCTAAGAGGAACATACAGAGATCAAGTTTAGCACCTCCTGGCTTCCTTGTAAAGAGTTATACAGTATAGAAAAGCCAAAAGGACCAGCAAGGAACAGAAGCAAAAGGAATATTCTACCTGCCAAAGAGCTGGCTCTTGGGGTGCCCTGTACTCTTTAAGCACAAGGGAGCCAGAGATGAAAGACTTAGCATGCTCGTGAAATCATTGCCTTGGCCTGAAAAAAGTCACAGGAAGCAGAAAAGATAGGAATTTGGGTAGCAGTGCTGTTCTTAAACAACCTGTACATGCACACACACACAGGAACACACACACACACACACACACACACACACACACACACACACACACACAGGAACACACACACACACACACACACACACACACATACACACACACATATACACACACACACAGGAACACACACACGCACATGTGTGGACACGCATGCTAATGTCACTGACAGCGCACCTGGGAAATTTCTTCTGAGAGTCCCCTGAACTCTTTTCTCATGACTGGGTTTATCACAGGCAAGAGTTAAAGAAAATGTGTCATGTGAAGAATGTTGAATTCTTTCTCTTGCTTCTTCCACATTCTGTTATCAGTGGTATTCTTTCTGGAGTGTTTGGAGGAAATTCAGAATAATAAGTGTAGTTCAGCTAGAATATCCTTATGTGGGTCTTTTTATGTGCTAAGTGCTTTTAATCAAGATGGAAGAATGCTAATTTATTGAGATAGCAAAATATATTAAAGGAGATTAAGCTTCCTGTGACATTTTTTTCCCTGACAATTTCTTTACTATAATTTAAACTGCATATTTTGGAAAGCTCTTTCCACTTAGAGTGAATTTAACATCCAGAGATGAAATGTAAGATAGCGACTTCTTAGAAATTATTGGACAGCGAGTGATAAATGAATCCTGTTCCCTAGGCAACCACGTGGAAGGATGTAACATCCCCCAAACTCTTAAGATGAAGTTTAAGGTGGCAACTATTTTGGGTTTCAGCTTCCTCTGAAAGTGGTTTTTATTTCTCGAAATTACTCTCCAATACAGTGAAGTCTGCGCCCTCTCTGCTCGCCTTCCTAACGCACTCTTGTGTGCAACATCCCACCCCCCCTTCCTTTGATCTCAGACTTGCGGCTGTTAGAGGAATGGCCGCCGCCCTGGAAATGAGATCAAATTGAGGATGGAAACTAATACGGAGACAGAGCAGAGCAGAGCCATCTCGGCCATCTGTTAAGCTTTTGTCATTTCACCAAGCAAAGTGCCTGCAGTTCTCTGACCCGCTCGCTCTTGTGTGGTTTTCCTCTTTTCACTTTCCAGCAAATGTGGCGTGGCGTACTAAGCTTTCAGTGGAAGCCATTTTAATGGAAAAGTTGCTGGGATGAGTGCTCTTCTGATTCTTTCAGCAGACCTTTCTGTACCAGTGTCAAGTGCCATCTTGAGGGTGGAATCTTCTATGGTGAAGTAGCATCCTTTCTTATCTACCAACTTGGTCTCAGCTTTTTATTCTCCTTCCCCTGCTCTTTGTGTCTTTTGGTGATTTTGTTTCAGTATGTACTAGGCGACTGGGACCCGAGCACTGCTCCCTCAGGGAAGGCACCATGGGAAACCCCTGCAGAGGCCTGCCATTGGCACCTTTCAGAAATACAAGGACTAGTCATTGACACTTTCTCTCCACTGTGCCATCTATGACTGGGGGTATCTTGTGACCCCAGAGGTTCAAGTGACTTCTAGGAGGCCTCCCAATAAGAATCTTGCTTTAGCATATTCCAGTGGCTAGAGTTTATATTAATTAGTAATATTTGAAAGACATTTATTTAGAAGGCTGAGCTCATTCCTGCTCAACTATCTATCAACTACTTAAGTTATGGGGTCTAATTGGTTCCTCCCATGCCATGTGGTATTTGGCCAAGGGCATGGGAGTTGACTGACATGGAAAAGGAGACACTCTCCTATATGGTTAGTATATGCTATAATAAGGAAGCTCTGGCTGTCCAGGGGACATCTGCAGGTGAAGCTGTGGGTGTAAAGTCCCGGGGAGTGAGGAACGCAGGAACACAGAAAGAAGGGTAACAGGAGAAGCAAGTGCTGGGCACAGGATGCTGCCTTTTGCATTTTGGCGGCATCGTGGGGCTCTGAATGCACTCACTGCAGAGCACAGTGGTCCAATTTCCCCATGTGGGCCAGTGTAGGCTGGCCAGGCCGCTTGTGTGTGTTAAGTACCATCACACATCCCTCACTCCGGGTTTTTAGGTACATCTAAACCTTGGACATTGTGACACAGCATCATCTACCAACTTCACCCTCAAGAACTGTGCAGTAAGCTACAAAAGAAAATAAACCACACCCCAAAAAAATCTCATAATGGTTTAAGTAAGTTTATAATCTTTTATTGGGCCACATCCATGTCTATCCTGGGGTGCAGGTGGGACATGCCTGAGAGAGATTGGATTTGGGTTGTTGACTGGATTTGCTGGACCGTATTAAAAATGACTTAGTGTTCTAAAAATACTTTTTGAAGGTATCTTTTGCATCAAGAACAAGGACATTGCCCTCACAGATAGTACCAGCTCTAAGGATAGCACAAAAATCATATACGGTGTACACAGTGCCTCCATATTGTCAGAAGCTCGGGGAGTCATAGATGGGAAGGGGTTACAGGACAGACTCTACGTCAGGTGGTTCTTGGCAGTTATGGAGGGGTTTAATTTTTGTTTGTTTATTTATTTATTTGGTTTTTATTTATTCTTGTAGGGCTCAGGACTGAACCCAAGGCCTTGTGCATGGGAGGCAAGCATTCTACCCCTGAGCTACATCTCCAGCCTTGAAAGGCGGTGGAGTGGGGGGTGGGGGCGGTTAACAGACACAAGGATGTAGACATGAGAAAAAGAACAGGGGATTCTGAGGAAGACTGGAGACTCAGCATGTGTTGGGGACACAGAAGTCCTTGTGCTCACTGATAAGCACCAGAGAACCCAGGGATGTTAAACACACAGGGTTGTCTCTTCAAAGGAAGAAATGTATAACCTGTTTTCTGCCCAGAAGGCTGGGAATGGAGGTGGTTCATAGCCTGGTGACCTCTGTGCTATCTGTTGGATCAGGCCACATCTGGCTCTCCAAGGCTCCCACAAACAGGACCGTAGGTGATTAATAGCCTAGGGGACCTCTGCACTATCTGTAGGGCCAGTCCACACCTGCCCTTGTCCCCCAGACCCTGACAAACAGAACCAGAGGCAGTTACTAGCCGGGTGACCTTTGCACTATCAGTATGACTGAGACCATACCAGATCCTCCTCCAGGCCCTTAAGATCACACACGCAATCTACCTACAGAACCCATCTTCATGGACAAGGTGGCATGCACTTTGAAAAGAGTTTCAATGTAATCATACCTTAAGCTTTATTGTGCACATGGGGTTGTGTTATACCAGAAAACTATTTACCAACTTGTACTGTACTTAAACATGCCTAAAATAAACTGTCTGGTGTCAGACTCCAGAAGCTGGAACTAACACTGGCCCCTGAGTCACGCTGACCCGGACTTCCTTCTTGATTCACTGGGATCGACCCTATGCTGGGGGTTGTGCTGCAGGCTAGGAGGCAAACTCTGGAAACGGAGTCAGTCCTTCTGTAGCTGAAGGACACTTAGCAGAGATGCGTAAGCAAGCCTTCAATAATTGGTTTAAAATGAACTAAATCCTGGTGCCTAGTGGAAGCTGGACATTCAAGGCTCAGATCTCCCGAAAGAAATTGCAAAACTATTCCAGACAGAGCAAATGTTGAAATGGTTGATCGCAACCAGTGTTGGGGGACGGGGACACCAATCAAGTCTGGCATTTTAGCAGTAGCTGTCATATCTGTCAATAGACAGCCAAATTTAAAATGTGGACCCGTATGACATTGCTCCCTTAGTTATATTTTTAGGAGCAACTTTCATAGCAACAAATTTGTTTCTGAAAGGGAGAAGAATCAAATCCCACTGCAATAAAGTTGAAACATCAGAACATTTAAAACTCTTGTAAATAATTCATTTTCAAAAGAAGTACTCATTTCTAAAACACTAAAAATTTCTCTAGGAACAGATTTGAACTTTGCTGTTTTGTTTTGTTTGAGGAGAAAACAAAATTCATCACGTTTCCCAGGAACAGTAAGAGCTGGTTCTGTACTGTCAGCAAGTTCTCATGTTCTGCCAAGGATCCCATTAATACGAACTGTAGGTAACTCCAAACAAATATTTGATGTTTACTGTGA